CCCCTTCCATCCCGCACCCAGGGCAAGCCGTGGACGTGTTTCCCGCCCTGCATGGACGAGTCCAGACGTCTGCGCTGGTGGGCGTTGTCTCTCCGTCTGGGTCTCGTGCTCTTCACCTGCGCTATGGCTGTGAGCGTGCCGCACTTCGCCCTTCTCATGGGTCTCATAGGCTCCTTCACAGGCACCATGCTCTCTCTCGTCTGGCCCTGCTACTTCCATCTGCGTCTGCGATGGTACTCCATGTCGCGACTAGCCAGACTCTGCGATATTCTCATCATCTTGTTAGGATTTGTCTGCGGGATTATTGGGATATACTACTCCGCGCATGCGCTGTCCCGCGCCTTCAGGGGACTCCCGCCTCAGCCTATTCACTCCCTGAAGCTACCGATAGGCCAGTGAAATAGATACAACTTTTCCTGTTATTTATTTTGAATTGAATAGTTGCTGTATCTCATTTTTTTCCAGACAAATTTTGGAATTACGTCAGGATATGGAACAGATTATGAACGCTTCTGTGATCACTTCATTGTAACTATTATGAGTGTTATGCTAGTTCTTTCTTAAAACCTGTAAATTAAATAGTAATTAATGATGAATGATGGGGAGATTTTAAAACGGACTGAACAATGTTGGAATTAATTAAATTAGAGTTTAACACAAATTGCCAAAAGTATCTAAACATTCAGTTTTCAAACCTCATCATGTTCTTTGATTTAGAGACCCCCAAGTGTCCTAGAGTGGGTGTCTTTTTCCGTTGCTGTGTTAAAATCATAGACAAAAAGGGTGTGTTTGTGGTGTTTTTTAAATACATAATATTACATTAATATCTTCTTGGCCTACTGCCAGGACACATTTACAACATTGTGCGTTTGTGTTTGTGTGTGTGTGTGTGTGTGTGTGTGTGTGTGTGTGTGTGTGTGTGTGTGTTTTATAGTATTGCTACTTGTAAAATTTTCTTAAATCCCCCTCCATTCTTAGTTTAAAATAATGTGTTTTAATAAATGTGATCATCTCTATTTATTTCCTGTTCATGTACTTCCTTATTTCCTGTCTCTGTTTTGCCACATTGGTTAAATTAAGAGAACACAATGTTATGATTCTGATAGATTTACAATTTTCTTTCTTTTTTTTTAAAAATTCAAATGATGCGGAAGTTATATTTTGTGTGGTGTACAAAAACAATGTGTCGGGACACGCTGAAATCAGGCGCTCGTCAAAATAATGAAATCTAACAAAAAGATAAATCCCCCCCCCCTCCCCAGTTGGACAATTTTTAAATGGAGTTGATGTATTTTGCTAAATCCCTTTATTGCCCTAAAAAAAGACATTTTTGTATATATTTACGGAAACCAAGGTTTTAAAAAATGTCAATATAAAGAATACAAGGACACCAAAGCTTTGAAATTCACCTAACCTTGGAAGTCATTTTCACGTCAATTTTACCTCTTACGCCCAGCGACCCAAATTCCCTTCGAACGAAAATATCTCGACCTCTCTATCCAAGATAAGAAGGTATTTCTTTCATCAAAAGCAAGGCAAATAAACAGACTTTAAGATGATACAGATAATTCCATATGCCCAAAAGTTGTCGAGCGCCTGATTCCACCGAGTCGTGATATTTTTTGTTATATCGCTTCCTCAGAATTACACAGATCTATCTGACATTTTTTTTACCAGAAAGAAAATGTGTTAGGACGTGGTGGAATCAGGCTCTCGTTAATTTTTAGGCATGTAGAGTTATTGGTATCATCTTAAAGCCTGTTCATTTGTCTTGCTTTGGATGAAAACAATATCTATTTATCTTGAACAGAAGTATAGATAATTGCGAATGAAGGAGGTGGAGATCACCTGGTTTCAGAGGTAAAATTAGTGAAAAAGTGGCCGCCAAAGCTTGGTAAATTCCAAAGCTGGAGAGTCCATGGAAAACTGTAAATTTATATTTTTTGTGCGTTTAATCAACGTTTTCGGTGAAATTCTCAAAAGAATGTGTTTGTAAATGGACATAAAAGGTATTGAGCCAAAAACCAAAATTTGATAAAAATTGGTAAGCAGGGAGAAAACTGCTGTTCCCTTCGATTTCAATATTTTGACGAGAGCCTGATTCCACCACGCTGCCTCACAAATGCTCTCTCTACCCTATCAAAATCATAAGAATATTCGGAGTCGTTATCAATATATTTATATAATTGCATCTAAAAAAGCTTAACATATCGTGAAACTAAAAATAATTTGACGTCAAATTCCCCAAAACTAGGTATTGAGCAGATAGTACATTGTAATTCTAAGTTAGCGATATAATATATGTGTTGCATCTGTGCGGCTTATTGATGAAACGTTTGTGATTGTCAATCATTGCCAGCACTTTAAACAAGGATCTGTATTGGCTGCTCAGTACATAAGGCTCTAGGCTATCATACGTCACTTTTCAAAAGGACATATTAGATATTAATTATGGCCGAGTCCGACACAAAGCAGTTTACTTTTGTGTATATGCAGGTAAGCTCTCGCCCATGG